TTTTTTTTAGAGAGTAAAAGGGAGGGGGAGAGACAGAGAAAGAGAAACATCATTGTGAGAGAGACACACAGGTTGTGTCTCTCTCGCACATACCCCGGTGCCAGAATCAAACCCTTCAGGTCCCAGGCCAGAGCTCTAACCACTGAGCGCACGGGCCAGGGCTAAAACAACCAGTTTTGAAAAAACAACTGGAAAACGGTAATGCCTATGCCTTTCTTTAAACAAAGATTCACATACCCGTAAGGAATGGTAGCAGCTCAGTTCGTGTCCTTTCTACTCCAAGTGCTAGAGCAATTGTTGATAACTTCTTAATGCTGTTGAGACGGAGCTTTAAAAAAGAAAGTGGAAAGAAGAATAAACTAAAGAAAGAGTTGTGACTTAGACCAAAGGCTAAAGTTGCAAACTGGTGAGACAGTGACATACCCGCTGAATGAGGAAAACCTTCAAGTTAGACTTTATTCTGAGGAAACTCAGGAGCAGTGTAACATGGCTTCATAGCCAAAGGAACACTCTGAAGGTCTCGTCAGAGAAATGAATGAAAGAGAATGTAATACCCAGGAAGTGAGGCAGTTTTAAAAAGAGAACTCTGGCAGCGGAGAAGCAGGTGAAACGGTTGACTACGACTCCTGGCTTTTCCAAGAAGGGTTCCGCCAGGGCGGCCACACCGGCTCCGCCGGGTTAATGAGCCTTCCCGCCCGCGGTCTACCCAACAGGCCGGGCCAGTTTCCCAGCCCAGAGGAAGGCATTCATTCACCTGCACTTCAAAAGGCCCCTGGCCTCCCCGCAGCCTCTCCAGCGCCCCGCCGCCTGCGCCCCCTCCTCCCGCTCGCTCCTCAACAAGGAGCCCCGGCCGGGGCTGCACGCGGCGTCCCCACCGCACCGCACCGCCCGGAAGGGGCGTCCAGACGGGAAGCCGGTTCTCCCACAACCGCCCGGGTGGGACGCCGGGCCCAAGCCTCAGGGGGTCCGGAGGAGGGGCTCTGGCGAGGTCCCGGGAGGATCGGGACGAAGCCCTCACGGGTCTTTCCCTTCCTCCCGCTCAAGTTTCTGCTCGAGTCCAGCTCTTTCAATCCCGGGCCACCCCCACTTCGCCGCCGGCCTTCCCCTTTCCCTACCCGCGCGCCCGACCGAGCCCGCCTCCTCTCCCCGGCCCGGCTCCAGTACCTGCACGTCCTCATTGCGGAGCTCGTCGATTAAAACCGCGATCGGGTATAGCGAATCGTCTCCATCTCCGCTCGCTGCCCCCGGG